GAAGCATTCAGGCTGTTGAGGACAGTATCTTGACTAGGGCCATTCATTGGTTAAGAACTATGGACTTATTTCATACATTCTCCTTTGATGATTTTTGGAGAAACTGGATAGCGGTGGCTAACAGCCATACAAGGTAGGACAGGGAATCTGTAGTGTGGATGCCTCCGCCTGAAGGATGGGCAAAGCTGAACTTTGATGGAAGCAGCCAAGGAAACCCAGGCCCATCGGGGATAGAGGGGTTTTGAGACATAAGGAGAGCAAATATTAGCACTCTTTTCAGGCCCCGTGGGAATAGGAGACTCCACCAATAGAGTTGAGTTGTTAGCGGCGGTACAAGGTATTCAGATTGCAGAACAATTAGGAGTTCAGCACTTGGTCGTTGAAGGGGACTCTAAGATTGTTGTGGGATGGTTGACAGACCCAGCTTCAGCTATGTGGCGACACAAAGACCTGTTCAGGAAAGTCAACTGGCTCACAAGAAACATGCCCGTTACCTCTCCTTGGGTGGGAAGATCAGCAAATACCTTAGCGGATGGGTTAGCTAAGCAAGGGGCTTCTAGGGAAGGTTTATTTTGGGCTGCTCTAATTCTATTTCTGGTTATTTCTGTTTTTAAATCGATGTAATACTTGCTAGAAGAGGTAACGACTCGTGCCTCCTCTTGGGTCTCCTGTATATGCTTGTCCGCTGCCATAAGTGTGCGCCTCTTCTTAGGCTATCTAGGYCGTCGGGTAGCTGCTCACAGAGTTCCCACCTCCGTTGACGCCTAGACYGGAACCATATCTCTTCCTCTGGCTTGATTCTTTGCTCTCCAGCCCGAGACCTAATTTCTGGTTTAATAAATTATATTCATTCATAAAAAAAAACCAATATAACAAAAAATGGTGTTCGTAAGGGCTTGGAATGTGGAGGCAACATTAGACAGCCCAAAGGGCATTTTTACGAATTATAATGTCCCTTGTGAGTGTGGGAATCTGTCTTGTGGACATTTTCATGGTGCACTCTTATTTGGTGATAACTTGACCACAAATCCAGTTTAAAAAACATTGTGGCTTCCTTTAATTTATCCAAGAGTTTGTTAATAATTGGAATTGGGAAGTGGTCCTTCATGATGATGTAATTTAGGACTTGGTAGTCTATGCTAAAGTGCCATGTCCTGTCTTTTTTGACAAGGATGACAAGTGATGAGTATGGGCCATTGCTTGGCTGAATTGGTTTCTTATCTAACATGTCCTTTACAATTTTTGCAATTTCAACCTTTTGGAAATAGGGATAGGGTTGGTTGGCTATGATGGTCTTGTTGTTGTGTTTGGGCAGTTCTTTGGGTTCTTCAAAAAACATTGTCATACTTATGAAACAATAACTCAAGAGCCATTCCAATTCATGTCGGATGGCTGGTCTTCTTGACTATGGACAAAGTTAGGCTGGTCACCACTAGGCCTAGTTGCATGATTATGGGTTGCTTGGTATGTTGGCAACTCTTCAACTGGCAAGATGAAATCCATGATCAGTTGGGCCTGACTGTCTTAATCACTATATGCCCAATATGATATTAGTACCCCCAAACTCCAAAGGATAGAGATCTATCATGAGCTCATTCCCTTGAACTTTGAGCTTCACATTCTTGCACAAGCCATTACATGCAAGTTGGTTTCCATCGGCCACATGGACTGAGAATTGTCTAGTTTGCTTGACAACCAGGTTGAGATATCAAGCTAGGTTTAAGGTGATAAAATTTATTGTACTTCTGCTATCAACTAGAATGGTTACAGTCCGACCCATTAGTTGACCAGGACTCTCATAGTTTTAGCTGAAGCTAGGCCCATCAACACGAGGGGGACTTCAGGAATACCTAGGCCTTGGATGTACAAAGACCCCCGGCCATTGAAGTCGGAAATTGGTCACTGTGCTTCATGTTGTAAGAGTTTGGGCATCTGACTCAGCATAGACCTGATTTGGCCCATCTTGAGCCAAAATCGAACAGGCCCGGTCCAACCCAGGTTCACAAGTTAGCAAATTGAGCCAAGCCTTGAATTTGACTCCTGGCCACATTTGTTGATGTGGCATAGTAACCGGAACTTTTTGGAAGAATCTCCAATTTAAAAGAAAAGAAAAACATAAATATAGCATTGAACTCGAACTTGGGAGGGGACCCAATTTTCTCTCCCTCCCCTCTCTCTAACCCAAATACTCTCTCTCCTCCAACATTCTCCATCTTCCTCTCTTCACTGACATCCTCCCTCTCTGGTTGGTTCTCCTCCAACCGAACCACCGCCATTTTCTCGTATATATGGAGGTCTGACGACAACAACCATCACCTATCCACCACCTCTCCAAAGTCCATGGGGCTTATACATGTATCTCATTCGATTGTAACAAGATCTGTTGTGATTTACAGTGATGCCTAGGTGCAAGCTTTTTATCACAATTATAACATAATCCTTTTTTATTTGAAAGGTAAAAGTATTCTTTGCATTAAGTAAAAGGATGAGGTTCAAAAAAAAATACACCCCAAGGAAGACTCCACCTTTACATACATGTATTGACCCCCACCCCCCCCMCCCCCCCCCACACACACACATTTCTTTCGATTGTTTGTATTGTATATGCAAGAGACATTCACCCATATGATTTGATTTCACCTATTTTTGAAGTCTTGCCATTTAAAGCCCAAAGCTTGTTGAATAGCTGTAAGAAATGGATCCAGAGCCTGAAAATGAAAGGGTAGTTAACCAGTAAGTGAGCAATAGATTCTTCATCTCTTGCATGCAAACAAAAGAGATTCTTAATCTCCATTCCTCACACTCTATGGTGGTCAGTTGTTAATATCTTATCCATGATAGCCGTCCAAAGTAAGAAAATCACCTTAGAAAAGGGCCCCTGGCTTCCAAATCCGTTTCCATGGAACCATGGGGTCCTCACCCTCCACCAGTTTGTTATACAATGATTTGACTGAAAAGATGCTATCTTTACCCAAAATTACTTGGATGGGAATGGTGATGGCTGAGTTGCTGTAAAAGAGCTTCCAACTGGTCAACCTCTTAGTATTCATAGCCCTCTTTAATGGTGGCATCTCCATTCTCAGCTATCTCAAAAATTTGTGGATAAGCTTCACATAGATAATTAGGGCGACACCAAATGTCCTTCCAGAATTATATGTTCTCTCTTTTCCCGATTTTAAAGGGAGATAGCTTTGCAACTAGATTCCTTGAAAATACCCTTCCACACACTTTGAATGAGAGCCACCTTACCTCCTTTTGATAAGTAGCCTCTCTTCCAAGTTCCAAGCAGACAGCTTTATTTGGAACTGTTTTGTGGACGGGGTCCAATTCTCTTTAGATCTATAATCTGCACCCAGTGGTAAACTGAGAAAATTGGAGGAGACCACATCTGCACCCTAACATGGCAGCTCACTTAAATGTGGGACCTCACCAACTGGGATTAGCTCACTTTTCTGAATATTTATCTTTAGTCCTGACGTTGCCTCAAAGAAAATCAGTAGGCATCTGAGGCATATTAAATCATCTTTCTTAGCCTGGGAAATAATGCTAAGAGTTGTAGGCAAACTGCAATAGTGTGATTGGCTGACTACCATCCCTCACTTAGAATCCTTCAATGTAGCCACCCTCTTCTGTGTGCTTGATCATTCTGCATGGAGCTTCTGCCACTATAATGAACAGGAATGGTGAAAGGGGATCCCCTTGCTGAAGGCCCTTCTCACTGCCAAAATAATCTTTTGGGGAACCATTAATTAGGATAGAACACGGTCAAACCCACAGAAGCTCCAATTCAACCCCTCCATTTAAGACTGAAGCCCATTCAACAGAGTAGATAATCTAGGAAGTCCATACTCTGACTGAGTTCCATATTCTGTACGATGTTGATAAGCATCAATGTTTCCAGCAAAATGAACACAGATGGGAGAAAGAACCTTTACCATGTTGCATATTTACTGTGGAATCAAGGTCAGGGATAGATTACACAAATCTAGTCTTCTGGATTGCTTTTTTTGACTAATTTGATTTATATTTTCTAAACAATTCCGGAATCTTCTACTGACTGTCCAAATGTTACAGATTTGACAGTTATCACTGCATTTGTTGATTCTAGTTCCAAGAGAATTATTTGGTGTTGGGGGATCTCTAGAACTTCTTTGTATTATCTGTATATAACCTTTAGGATGGACAATTTCTTGATACCCTCTTATCCTGAGCCAATTATTCCAGTTTTTTCAACTTGTAATGGATATTGAATGGTTGAATGGCCTGGAATTTCTCAACCATGGTTAGCAGGCAAAACAGATTTCCTGGGTTTCTGGTCTCCCCCATTTTCTTGTCCTAGCAAGACAATTTTATTGGTAGCTTTTCTTCTTTTATAGTGTTGTTTTGGTAGTTCTTTTAAGCTTCGGTAATTTTAATTTGGATGTTGAAACTGCTATTTCTTCAATTATCGTGGATACCAATTCATAGATAAAGTGTTCCTGATATATTCTTTTCTAATGCATATAAACAATAAAGTATGTAACAACATATCATCTAAAAGATTTATCAGAAAAAAGCATATGCATCTAAAAGTGCTTCTGATGTGGCTAACATGTACAATGAGCATAGGTTTTTTAAGACAATCATAGTAGAAAAATGCAGCAAGTTGACCTATAAAGAAAAAGAATTTCGAATTTAAAATTTGGTTATTGAAAAGGTGTAACTGCATGTGATGATATCCAATTGGGTCGATTCTATGTATGTAACTCCTAAGGTCAGATAGTTTCTGATACATCCTTGTTGGCATATGTTCTATTTTCTATTTTGTGCTGCATGATATTGTCTGCAGTTCTTATACCTTGGTTGAATCTTTAGTTTTCATAGTATCAAAGATTTCGGGAAATGGACATGTCTATTGGTACAAAATCACGCTACCTCACTTTGGCATTTTCTCACATATATTCAACAGGGTTGCCTTTCGATACAAACATAGATAATCCTGTGGGTTGCATTATCAACAGGCTGAACAACAGAAAAGCCCGGCTAGCCCGTGCAGCCAGGGAAGCTCGTGCACCATCTGAAGGAGATAATACTTTTCCAGACAAGCAAGGTGGTTCAGGTCAGGCTCAATTTTATGACTCACCTGAGAGTCCCAGTGAAGACTTTTATGTTCCACCATCAACCACGAGAGCGGGGAGTAACCAGAGCACGCCGAAATTTGGAGGTGTCACGCTGAGAACAGGAAGTGGTGAAGCTTCGGAGATGACCCCAACAGATTTTGTTGATTTTGCTGCCAAACAGAGTATGCAAATGGATTGTTCATCATTGGGATACGCCCAGTATGAGCCAGGCCAATACGTGTCACTGATTGATGGAGAAGGTAAGGAGGTTGGCAGGGGAAATGTGTATCAGGTGGAAGGTAGGTGGCATGGCAAAAGCTTAGCGGAAGCAGGAACATGTATAGTTGATGTTCATGAACTCAAGGTTGAGAGAGGGACGAGGCTTCAACACCCAGTGGAAGCTGCAGGTACCACATTCGATGAAGCTGAATCCAAGAACGGGGTGATGAGAGTGGCATGGGATGTAAACAAGATCCTGCCGTTGCGCAAGTAAATTGATACATTACAGCAATGTCTTGAAACCAGAAGGACTTGGAGAAGTCTTGAGCAATCCCAGAGGCAGCTTCATACTGCTCCAAGCTTTGGTTGAGCAGTTTAATTATCTGCAACCTGTACTTGGGAGACTGCTCCTACCATTTGTACGCAAATTACTGCGTCCGTTGTCACATTTTGGGGGTGGTTCAAGTTTTTTGTATTATTTGATAGTGGCATAAGCAGAGAAGATCTCTTATTATTTTTTGGGTTATTTATGTTCATCCCTTCTCCCCTTTTCTTATTATCAGTTAGAAGTGGCCTTTGGCCATTGATTCGCTCTGACCACCGTTGTGGGGTGCCATGTTTTAACATTTTTAGTTGATTTAGGTCTGATTTTATTTTCATTTTTCAAATATGGTTGTTGGGTTGTGTTAACATTGATCCCAGAGGTGGCTCGCAATTGAAGTTCATCCTAGGGATATTTTCCTAAAAGATTTCAATTTCTTGTAGCCATCTTCAGTTAAGGTTAGTACAGGAAATTCTCTCCTCCAAGTCCTAATTCTGGCAAATTAGCATCAATCTCATTGTATTCTTTTAATATTTCATCGGTGAATAACCCGAAAGAAAGAGTTTCTTTGAGTTCTTTCTCCCTGGTAGTACGAATGAAACATAAGTTATGAAATTATGTTTTTCTAAACCTAAATAGATGAATGAAGAATTTATGTGAAATAGAGATAAAAAATTTTCAAGTTATTAAGCAAAGTTTGAAGTTTGAAAATAAAGAGGACCCACTAGGCACAATTTTGCATTGAAGGATTTTATTTATTTATTTTTTATTTTGTTATTGAGGCTGCACAACGGGGGTAGCCCCCCATGCCCTTAACCCCTCAAACCCTTATGGGGGTTGTGATGATTTTGGCTTTCTCACCTTACCTCACATCATGTTGCAGGTGCACATTGAGAACATCTCTTGTACTTGTACAGTTATATCATTGTATGATTTCATTCATGGGGAGTACCAATGCATGGCTGTAATGCTGAGAGGTGGATGTGAGGAGCATTTTGTGAGTAGAAAATCCGGATTCCATTGTGTGACCTGAGGAGTTTTCAGTCACGTTGTGTGACCTTCTGAATCTTAATATATTTATTGGGTTCAACTATGATATGGGATAGATATGATATCTGAAAAAACTTCTCACCAATCAATTGGAATCAATAAACATGGTAGTCAATCAGGGGTTATTTATCAAAATTCATTGGTAGGTTTTGATTGGTCAAAACTCTTTACATACCATGTCCTTCCCGCATCATAGATTTTCCCATATTTATTTGTGAAACACTATTAAACTGAAAAAAAAATATCATTGTTAAGAACTTATAATACCTTATTTTACACATACAACTGTACAACACAAAGAGTTAGTAGGAGGTCACCCATTTTAATACTATTCTCATCTAAGCACGTTTAGCTTTAGAGTTCCAAATTCCAATGCGGTCCAGCTTATAGTGCTGGACCTGCTGGTATGATTGCACCCAAATAAGATATTATGATAGATATCTAATCCATTTAACAAAGGCAATATTCTCACCAACTTACAATTTATTATTAGGGTACATCTTGGGCAGGCCCGTGTTGGGATTTTTTTTTTTCAAATTTCAATGGGCTTAGGCTTGCTGCTATGTAGAATCTTCAAATCGATTACCCAACTTGCACCCCTACTTGTAATTAGACCTGTTTATGGGACAGGCTTCGGGCCCATTAGAGTTTTGACAAAATCTAAGCCTGAGCCCAGCCCATGAACCGGTCTACTTGTAATACCTGATTTATACTTAAAAGCTGAGTATTGATATTTTGGACAAGCAATATCCTCAAATAATTCACTATCAATTTAGCTATTTCCACTCCCTTCATTAGGTATAGCCTTACAGGTGTAATGTGGGCCGTATCCGTGGGCCTTAAGCCCCTGGCCCGTGGTATGCATGGGCCATTCAGGCCCATGGGCGGTGTGGCCCGTTTCTTAGCTATATCAGTAGGATGAAATCTACATGAATTCATTGGAAAAATAGTTTTTTTTTTTTTTTTTTTTATATGATATGAAGAATTAAAATTGAATATCAATATTCCGTTTAGACGCCACCAAAATTTGAATACAACATTAGAATCCGACCATTAAACAGTACTCCTATGGGAGCTTAACTATGCTGTTTCTCAGGAAATATTAGTTTTCTATTTGGTATCCTTGTTGCTGCTGCAACATAAGTGTTTTATAATGCTATAATAATATATTGATTATGTTTGATTTGGTGGGTAATTAATGAAAAAATGCCATTACATCAGCGCCAGGCATTAGCATTTATTATACATAAAACCATTGTTGGATTTTAATGTTTATCAAGTAAATACTAAAAAACATAAATACTTGGATTTATATGCATGAGACATTTTGGGGAGATGTGAAATTCTTGTTTTCCTAACGCTTTGAAATGAAATACTTATGTGACATGCTTTACGGAGTATTAATTTTGAGGTGAAAATTAAAAAAATTTAAAATTATGCTCAACCAAACAATAAAAAAAGAAACGTTTAAAGTAAAAAAAAATGTTTAAAATAAAGTTTTTCAATAATTATTTAAAGCAATAAACACCAACAGGACTAAACACATATTTGTTGATAGCAATGGTAGAAAAAACCAAAAATGTTATCCAAAAAAAAAGAAAAAAACTGAAAATAGTGACTTTTCTGATTTCCAAGATGTGATTTGAGGAATCATTTTTGGAAAAAACAACTAAGCACTGTTTTCCAATGAAAACAGAATTCAGATTGGCGGTGATGTGGTGCTGTTTTTTATGAAAGGGCATTGATGCCAAACACACCTATAAATCTCAAACTAATTTTCTTAAAACTAAAACCTGTTGAGCGGGCCGAATCTATTCGTTTCCTCTTAACTCTTATATCTTAAAAGTAATATTTTAATTTTAAGACTCAATTTGGAAAAAGTATAAATACAAATATATAGAGTATCTGTATGTATTTGCACTGTTTGTATTTTTTCCAAATTAAACCTCAAAAAAAAAATAGTTGTTTGTTTTCTATTATCTCTTGTCTAAAATATAATTATACAATTTTTTGTTTTCCAATAATACCCACAAAAAGATAAATAAACACTCTGACATATAAATTAAAATTTTATATTTCATAATTTTCAAAATTAAAAACAACATTCACATTCAGACTTCACAAAAAAAATCACTAACCCAACCATCATCCCATGCAAATCTATTCAATCATCGAAAACTAATGGAGGATTGCATTCGTTATATATATCGAGAAGGGAATCAAGCAGTGGAGATCGAGAGAAGCCACATAAAACCACCCAGGCAAGTTCCAAGTTCTAAGTTCCAACTTGAAACAATAACCATCATCAAGATTATTGCTGGATGCATCTTGCTCCTTCCTCTCTGAATTACTTACTTGTATACTACTGCTTGTAGTCAGATTCAGCTCTAATTCCCCGATTAAGTAGTCTGGAATTGTTTCCTGCTTTTCTTTTCTTGGTCAATACCGGATTTGATTTAACTAATTTTGTTTGTTTGTTAATGTCCCTCTTTATCCTTTTTTTAACCTTCTTTTATTCTTCAAACCAAGAAACCCTAAAAACCTGAATTCATATCTTTTGTGGATTTTTACATTACAGAATTACAACCCGAAAGTTGATTGTATGAAAAGGAAATTAAAGGGGAATGTTAGCCACGAAGCCCAAAACTGGGTGAAATAAAAGAAGAGTATGGAAATCGGTGGCTAGAATTTGAGTCTTACGCTCCTCCTCTCCTCCTATCTTTATATGTTGTGATCTTTACTCAAGAGTTTGAAGCTTTGAATTGAGGAAGGACCAAGCAAATTCTATCTTCCTCATCTGTTTTTGAATCTCTGAATCGGCCCAATCGGGGAATGGGGAAGAACGATTTTCTCACACCGAAGGCAATAGCCAATCGGATCAAGGCGAAAGGGCTCCAGAAGCTCCGATGGTACTGCCAGATGTGCCAGAAACAATGCCGAGACGAGAACGGCTTCAAGTGCCACTGCATGAGCGAGAGCCACCGGCGGCAGATGGAGGTCTTCGGCCAGAACCCTAATCGAATCGTCGATGGTTACTCTGAAGAGTTTGAGCGGACTTTCCTTGAACACGTTAAGCGCAGCCATCGATTCAGTCGCGTTGCCGCGACTGTTGTCTATAATGAGTACATTTCCGATCGTCACCATGTCCACATGAACTCCACCCAGTGGGCTACCCTGACGGAGTTCGTCAAGTACCTTGGTCAGACGGGGAAGTGCAAGGTTGAAGAGACACCAAAGGGGTGGTTCATGACTTATATTGATCGAGATTCTGAGACCCTCTTCAAGGAACGTCTCAAGAACAAGCGGCTCAAGTCGGACGTTGCAGAGGAGGAGAAACAGGAGTTGGCAATCAGGAAACAGATTGAACGGGCGGAGCAGATGGTGTCGGCGAGTGAGGCGGGGTCATCTGATCCAGAGGCATTGCTGCAGCCGAATTTAGAGCCTGGAGGGAAGGTTGCGTTTTCTCTTGGTTCATCTTCCAAACCTGCTACTAGAGAGGGTGTTCAGAGCTCAAAAGTGGTTTTTGAAGATGTCGAAACGGAGAAGAATGAGAAGAGAAGCAAAACTGATGTCAATTCAGGGAAAAGTGGTGGTGGGTCGGCTCTGGATGAGCTGATGAAAGAACAGGAGAAGGCGAAGGAGAGAAGTAATCGAAAGGATTACTGGTTATGTGAGGGAATTATTGTCAAGGTCATGAGCAAAGCCTTGGTTCAGAAGGGTTATTATAAGCAGAAGGGAAAGGTCATTAAGGTGATAGACAAGTATGTTGGAGAAATTGAGATGCTTGATAGCAAGCATGTACTAAGAGTTGATCAGGAAGAGCTCGAAACAGTGATTCCACAAATTGGTGGTCTTGTAAGAATAGTCAATGGAGCTTATCGTGGATCAAATGCGAGGCTGCTGTCAGTGGATACTGATAACTATTGTGCCAAGGTACAAATAGAGAAGGGTATATATGATGGCAGGGTCCTCCAAGCGGTTGACTATGAAGATATTTGCAAAATTTCCCAGTGAATTGCTTGAAGTGTATATACCTTCATTCTGAGCTTGCAGGGTAATCATTGTTGTGACATTCCAAAAACTTCAGTCTTTTTATTTCTACAGTGTTCAATCAAACTGTTCAGTTGTGCCTAAAACGTGGGGGGGTGCATGCTATTAAAAAATGGAAGGTTTTTGTGTTTTTTATTGGACATGTATCCTTCAGGCAAAATCATAAATAACTTCATTTTTTTCTTTATTGACATCTCTATCTTATGAACTTGCTCAAGTGCATAATTAGATTATTTAATTCCATGTGATTTGCAAAGGTCCTGTTTTAGAGTTTCACCATTTGGATTTCACAATTTCAATCTCATTAAGAAGCTGTCAAAAAAAAAAAAACCATTAAGAGGCATATTGTCCTATATTCTTTCACAGAAAAATGATTTTAACTAGCAGTTTTTCTTATACTGTTGCTAGTTGGAATAATGTATTGATTTCAGTCCAATTTTGCTACTGTACTAATAACCTTAATTTTGCTAGGTTCTGAGAATCTCAAGCAAGAATAAGAATGCTCTCTGAAGGAAATAGTCCCAGCAGCTCTAAATACTATTAGCACACAGTTCATGTTGCTGGATCAGGGAAAGATAATGGTGGAGGGTCAACGGAAAACAAGCCTAGCACTAGTTGCAGATGAAACTGCTGCTGTTCACTTTCAGTTATGGGGGATTGAATGTGATGCCTTCCAGCCAGGTGATATAATCCGTCTGACCAATGGCATTTTTTCTTATAATCGAGACAATCTTGGATTGAGAGCTGGAAAGAGAGGTAAAATTGAGAAGGTGGGGGAGTTCACCATGGTATTTGTTGAGACACCTAACATGAGTGAGATCTGTTGGAGTCCTGACTCGAATAATTCTAAGAAATTCTTACAGGGGGCTGTAATTTCTCCATACTCATCCATTTTTCCACCACCAATGCCCTAGAATTTGTCACCAATGGATGTTGGTCGAACCATTCCTGGAGTATTGAAATTGCAGAATTGTGTCTTGCATCTCCATCTGTATAGCATGGATACAGGTGCAGGAGTATAACTTTTTCTTTCAATCCTTAAGCTATTATTTTACACTTTTTTTTTTATGTCAATAGAATCTGTATATGAATGATTTTTTTTTTTTTGAGAGAAAGGCAACTGATTTCATTAAGAAAAGAGAAGGGTACACAAAAAGGTGTACAAAGATAAAGAAAAGAAAAACAAAAGCAGGGATCAGATCCTTAGGAATTATACAGGAGGAAGCTTATCGGAGTACAAATCTTCTAACAGAGCACCTAATTTTGCTAGTCTATCTGTAAGAGCATTAAATTCCCTTGGAATACAAATCAGGTTTACATTAGAAGCAGTCGGTAAATCCCTTGCCTCCGTCAGAGTGACTGAGTCTCCACGGCCCAGTCTCTTGTTTTCCTAACCATTTTATAGTGTTTGCTGAATTGCCTTCAATGGAGAGGTTCTGAATACCTAATCTGCTATGCTTATTGGCTCACTATACACCCAGCAGATGTTCTCATTTTCATCCCTTTCATCTCCTACTATGCCAGCAGCACCAGGGTTGCCTGAAGCACTTCCATCAAAACTTAGAGTCCAAAGGCCTTGCCTTCTGAGAATTGGACTCCTATAGGTGGATGGGGAGGGAGGGGAGGAGAACAGGAAATTACCAGCATGCCTCATCTCATTCCTGTAGATGAGATGATTGGGTTCAATATTTTGCATAGTAGAAACAATTGTGCATCCAACATGGCCCTAAAAATTCAGGACTTTCTTTTGTTACCCTAGTTTGGTAAACGAAACCATGTATTAATATATTAGCACCGTTGCAAACCAACTAAAACAAAGGACTTGTTAAATTCCATTTCAAATACCATGATTGACCAGCCATCATCTATTCTTTACTTGTGCATATGCCACAACAGTTTGATTTGCCCTGAATATTGATTTCAAGCAACAGCTCCTAAGTAGGCTCATATTGTTATCCATGATTGGCTACAACAGTTGCAGCATGACAAGCCAAAACATATAACAAGTAAACTTATGGAACAAATGGTTGTTGCTCTCCAGCTGACATGGGATTGCAGGAATAAAAAAATTCACAACATTAGCAAACAGCCTACTTGGGTTATATGTGGATGGGTCATTTATGCAGTCTAAAAATTGAGCAGTAACAGCATATGTTATTATTAAGTCTGACTGCTGGGTGATTGTGTTCCGATCTTGTGCTTGCCACAACTTTCAGATTGCAGCAGCAGGATCCATTTCATCAACACAAGCACCATCTGAAGCTGAATGGAAGGCTTTTTTTTGGCAGGTGTCCAGCAAGCAAAAAGAAGTATATCTCATCTACGTTTTATTTTTGATGTAGCAACAATAGTAGTCACTGTTTTGACACTGTAGAGGGACCAAAGTGGTGGGGAACTACTTTCCTTTTTTTGTAAGCCATATACTCTTTTTTTGAAGCCAGTAGCTATAGTGCTATACTATGTATCATATAAATAGGCAATTAAAATAACCTGTCTCATAGTATAGCCTATAAGGTGTGAAGGGAGGCGGGGAGGGTATAAATCTGATGTTCCAGTTACCGCAGGATGGAATGAATGTGCAGTTTTTGAAGTCACATTACATGCGTACGATAGTTGCATTCAGAAGTCACTTGATAAGAAATTATGGAGTAGAGAAAAAACCAACTTCCTTGTCCAAAAAACAAAGATTTAGGGGGTGGTTCTAAACTTCTAACCTTTGGATTAGACATGAAAAAGGTCATCCAAATGTGTCACTTGTCCTGAGAGCTAACCACGATGTTCTTACAGTTACAGGAATGTAAAGCAGTTGAGATCAAAGCATCATCAGAGATGTGGCTACTTGGACAAACCACGCTTCTCGTGTGAACAACCCTCCCACGGAGTCTCTGGTTAGGTGGTGTACGTAACTTGGAACCAGTAGGTTGTCTGAGCCCCTTCCCCAAGGCCCCATCGTCCCATGAACGGTTGAGAGTTGGTGTTGAAGTTGCCCTCTCGAATGCGATTGGCCCAAATGACATCCCCTAGGGCTGTAGGGCATAAGCATTACATGAATTGACATTCTAATTCATTCATCTGTACCTTTTCCTAACTATATCCATTACATGAATCATGTTTTGACATTCTAATTGAAGACCTATTGGCGGGTCACCTACCAAGTACCAACATCAATTAGAGTAAATAAGGTTGAACACACTTTTCTAAGGCATAAGCAATCCTTATTAGTGTTCTCTCTTCTAAGGGGCGTATTGGGCGAATCGGTACTTTTTTTTTTTATTTTTTTTTAAAACCAGTTCAGGGGGCTGGTTTAGCGCTCCTCCACCCCCTGAACCGGTCAGACACCCAATACACCCACTGTAGAGGTGTATCGGAGGGGTCCCAGAACAATATGTATCAGGTCGATACGTATCGATACTTTGAACCTTGTTCTCTTCCTTAAACCCCCTCTGTGTGTGATATCCATTTCTCCAAATTCGATTTGAATCCGATTTGATTAAAGATGCCCATAAGTTAGATTAAATATAGTCTACTTCAATCTAATTGGATAGTATTTAACATTTATATTTTATTTGAATTTAAGTATTAATGAATCAAACTTAAATATCCTTTTTATGAAAGGTTTCAAAATTGTTTAACATTAAAATATACTTAATTGTAGGCAATAAGGCATGCACAATATCTTTGGTATTTTTAATTTTTCATAATATTTTCTTTTTTTCTTGACTAATCAGATGCAAATTGATTATTGGTTTTCAGCCAAGACATTATAGTTATTTCTTAATGAATTTGGGGCTACCATTCAAATTGGAAATCACTGGATCCCCATCCCCATACACTCTAATCCGATGCAACAATAGTTTCAGGGTGACCATTAGGGGTAAATTCAAGCTGAAGTGGGCTGAATATCTAATATCTAGCTATTGAAGATTGGCTTGGCATAAAAAAATCATACTCAAATTTGACTTCGAGCTTGATTCAAGCTAAAGACATGAGCTTGAATTCAGCTTAACTCAAAAGCTCATATGTTTAAGTTTAGCTAGTGAGTCAAATTTCATATAAAAGATAAAGAAAAATTACATACAAAAATTAAAATTATATATAATTATTTGTTATTATATAACACTAAAAATATTATATATCATATATGCAAGCTCACTAGTCTCACGAGTCGAACTTAATTAGGCTCAAACTTGGCTCATTTGCTGTATTGAACTTGAGCTCTCGAAACTCAATTTAAACCAAGTTGAATCGATCTTTTTTATGACCTGAGAGGGAACACTAGATTTGTGTCCACCCCTAATTAGTAGCCGGAAGGTAGATTCTCCTATTTATCACAAATGTTGATCTAAATAGTCTGGTTTGATGGTTTGATCCCTATTTACATAACTAAAAGACTAAAACTTAATAAAAAAAAAATGGTCCATTAATAGTCAAACTGCTTGCCTTCTTGACCATCTATTGTGCATCTGAAAACATATTTACTCCAACTCTTCTTTCCATTTCTGCTTGCAAGCCATATATCATAGCCCTTAATTCACCTTCACTGTCTTGTATCCTACTGCTGTAACTAGTTGATTGTCAGCAAAGAGCATTGCTTACCCTAAACCTGCTCTTCCTTTCTTATCCATGATCAAAAGATGTATTCATATACAAATTTAACATTAGACTATTTCATCCCCACACTTGGCGAATTTTGGGTGGCATTCAGTAGTATGTAAATATCGTGGATGAGACCGCTTTGGTCCTGTCCATGGTAAGATATTGTTGTTCTGCTATGTGTGGATGGTCCCCATCCACAAAATAGTGTGGATAGGGACGGACCACACCCCAATTTATTGTTCATAGTATTTTCTCGTGGATGGTTCATACTATGGTGTGGGCAGTTTGTGAGAAGGTTTCAGTGTAACGCACATGTGTTACATTGGTTCAATTACTCTCATTTTATTTAATCTTTTAATAAATTTTAAGTTTTAAATTTTAATATTTTATCAACAAAATATTAATTTTAAATGTTAATTCTAGCACAAGTTCGACAGTTTTCCTTCTCAACTCTTTTTTCATTATTTAAATATTAACTTTTTAATATTTTTTATCAATAAAATAATATTTAAAATATTAATTTTTATTTTTTTAATATTTAAAATAATATTTTTTAGTTATTAAAAAATGCAATTGTTATCTACATATTGATGCTTTTTTTTCAATTTTTTTATAATATAAAATGTAAAAATTAGATATTTATGATCGATTGTGTAGATCTCTCATAAAATGTTTATGAGATACATGAAATCAAAAAGTATAGTCCATACCACACCTACAGAACGCTACCATGAGTGTGGATTGGTCTAGTCCACACAATTTATCCACAATTCAAAATAGTTGTGGACCGTGGTGTGTTATGGATTGATCCCTACCGTAGGGTGTGGCGTGAATCAGTTCATACCCATCGATTTCTTATCCACACTATAAAATACTTCCTTAATAAACTGTATGATATGATTATTTATTTATACTTTTGTTTCTTGCATTCCCGACCAATCTTAAAATGAAGGCACTACAAATTCTTTTTCTTTTGGGTAATGAACTAATGATGCCCAAAACGTAAAGAGTTGGAATGGGGACAGGAGATTCTACAAGGATGATTATCTGTACAATAAAAAAGGCAAATAATTGAATACCACTGAAGGAAGCAATGTCTGTAAATGATCAAATATATAGACCCAAGTGTTTGGTAAAAGACGACATGATTGTCCATCCATTTGCGCTGGAAAATGAATAGAAAAAGAGCGAAGTTTCAGAAATGGATAAAAGGGTGGACGGGGTTTCAACCTTGAAACCTGGTTGTAAAGAAAGAACCTTCTAGTTCCAGCCTCCGAACAAGCCGCTTACGGCCCATTTAATAAACGGATAAAGCATAATACGGTTATTTTGGATTTTGGGGTCTAGATAGATAATTAGCCAAATTTGGTGGGTCCCAAAGATTTGGAATACACGTGGCACCGACACCACCGCCTTTTTTTTAACAGGAGTCCGTGATTGGCTTTGAGGACAAGAATGAAGAACAAGTAGTACAGGGTCCATCCACATTTGGAAAAAGGTTGAGGGGGAATTATTTATAGAAGGCCTCCATTTGTGGGGTGAAAGAAATTTGAAAAAAAAAAAAAAAGGTTTTTGATCAAGAAGGGTGGTGCTGGGGCCTGGGGGTGGTGTCATTGTAGGAAAAGAGCCTTCTTCCTTCTTCAAATTGAAAGAAAGAAGAAGAGGGCTCTGATATTCTTCATTTCATTTCAAGGAGAAAAAAAGAACAGGGTGGTTTCCGATGATTCGCTTGTGGATTGCAGCGCTCCAATTGGTGGAGCTCTTTGTGAGTTCTATGGTTCATTTGGTGTATGGGCTTTACATATTCAGCATAGCTGTGGCTTCAGACATCTCACAGGCTCTAAATGAGTGTCTTAGACCTAATGTAAATATCAAAGAGATGGAACCTCGGGCAGCAACTAATAATGATGGTTTACCTCCCATTGTCTTGATTCATGGGATCTTCGGATTTGGGAAAGGGGTATGTGAGATGTACTGTGAATTTGATGAACTGGGTCACCATTTTTTCTTCTTCCAGGACATATAATTTCTGTTTCTTTTAATGGGAAATTTATTTATTTATTTATTTTGTTCATTTCTGTTTCTTCTATGGGCTATACAGCGATTAGGAGGATTGTCGTATTTTGCGGGAGCAGAGAAGAAGGATGAAAGAGTTTTGGTTCCTGACTTGGGTTCCTTAACCAGCATATATGATAGGTGGGTGCCTGAAGCTTTGAAGCTAATCATGACTAAGGTTGCATCCTTGGCCTTCTCCTTAGACCTTCATTGTTTGTTATATATTCGTCGCAGGAGTTAAAGATTTCTAATGCTTTCAGGGCTCGCGAATTGTTTTATTATCTGAAAGGCGGGCAAGTTGATTATGGAGAAGAACACAGTAAAGCTTCTGGGCATTCGCAGTTTGGAAGGGTTTATGAGCAAGGTTTGGAAGATCAATCTCAATGCTTTGCTTCATCTGTGTTAAATCAAGTGTTTTTTTTTTTCCTTTTTTCTGGTTCAATCTTGTGTTGGGCGTGCAGGGCATTACCCTGACTGGGATGAAGACCATCCCATTCACTTTGTTGGACATTCATCTGGAGCCCAGGTGGTTCGTGTATTGCAGCAAATGCTGGCAGACAAGGTTAGCCCATTTTAATGCTCAGACCAAAGAAAGAAAAGGAAAATCATGGATTGTGGGTCTTTAGAGCTGTGATTATTGAACACATATTTGTTTATAATTTCAGGCTTTCAAAGGATATGAGAACACTTCTGAGAACTGGGTTTTGAGCGTAACTGCATTATCCGGCGCATTCAATGGTACAACAAGAACCTACCTAGATGGGATGCAGTGAGTTTCGTTCAGAGCCTAGTTTTCTTTCTCATGGATGTCATCTCCAAAACCTTTTGAGTTCAAAACTTGTTTTCAGGCCAGACGATGGAAGAGCAATGAAGCCCGTTTGTCTGCTCCACATCTGTCGCTTGGGTGTCATACTCTACGATTGGATTGACATTCCATGGCTGAAGGCCTACTACAATTTTGGGTTCGACCACTTCAACATGTCCTGGAAGCACATGGGAGTTTCAGGTCTTCTGGATTGCCTCTTAGGCAATGCGGGTCCTTTTGCTTCAGGAGATTGGATTCTCCCAGACCTCACAATTCAAGGATCAATACGACTCAACTCCCAAATCAACACCTTTCCAAACACATTCTACTTCAGCTATGCCACCAAGCGAACAAGGAAAATCATGGGGATCACCGTCCCTTCCGGCATACTTGGCATTCATCCCATGCTTTTCATCAGAGTATTGCAGATGAGCCAGTGGAGACATCCTCCAGACGTCCCTCCTCCTTATAAAGGATATCGGTGGGTCAGTTTTTCCTTGCCTATATTTTGGTTCCTCTAAATGCATATCTATCTCCCAGCAGTTGTTTTATACAAGCCAGTTTTTGTCTTGTTCTCTGCTGTTAAAAATTAAAATGTGTGTAGGGATGAAGATTGGCAGGACAACGATGGAGCACTTAACACTATATCCATGACACACCCCCGGATCCCCATTGAACATCCCAGCCGTTTTATTGTAAATGACTCTGAATGCCAGCCTCTGCAGCCGGGCATCTGGTATGTTATTCTTTCTAATGTCATGAAATTGTTTACATTTGGAATAACACAGTTATGCACATAATTGGTTGCTGTCATCACCATTGCACTCATGATCATTCATAAATTCTCCCATCCTCCACAACTGCTTTTGTTATGATTTTTATGTCTTTCTTAATGATCATTAATGGCATCATTATCACTGTTGCCATCTTCATTGTCAAGTTTATGACCAACAGTTAGGTGTTAGTGTTAGATAATTAAGTCCTGGGACCCTCAAGGTCTTATCTTAGGATCAACCAAGTTTAAAATACAAGATTGACCTTAACAGGGGAGACTAGACCATTTTTTTATCATTATGTAGCAGTTGTAATAAGTTCTACCACTCTTCCAATGTTTCCTTAAAACTTGGTATTAAGTTTATAATGCAGATTTTTTTTTAGTTTGACTTGGCAAACTTTTTTTGGAAATGTTGAAATAATGGTCTAAACTTAGCAGCGATCAAAACATGGGAGTAATGGTAGGCCAAAATAATGGTTCATAACAACCATAGTTCTTGTATTAGTTAAGGTCTTCAGGATTTTTAGTCATTGGCATGTATAAACATCACTGGTGGTGTAAGGGATACAGTTTATGCATCTATATTTACAGGATTCAGAATCCTACTGAAGAATTCAAAATGGATTGTATCAAATTGGATAATACCTAGGTCCAAATTTGATTTATTTATATTTGGATTCGAATAGAATTCAAATTAGATGACATTTTGTAAGATGGTAAAAATTGGTCAGCTCAAAATGTGATTGTTTAACACATTCACTTTAATATTCTTAAATACTATATTATGTGATAATTTGGCATCATTGGTCATGGTGACTTAAAGACTCTTAGAGGCTAATTTCAAAGTATCAACCTCCCCATGTCCTTAGCAAACAGATTTTTTTTTCTTCTTTTTGGAAAAGAAGAGATTATTGTCAAATATCAGAAGAAAAGAGAGATTATTGTCTGAAAAATAGCTATAATTTGAAGGAGATTATTTACTGTTGGGTATCTGGCTGGCCTAATGCAGGTACTACAAGATTGTGGAAGCTGATCACATACTTTTCATTGTGAATCGGGAAAGAGCAGGAGTGCAATTCGATTTGATATATGACAGCATCTTCGAACGCTGCAGAAAGCACGTATTTAGGAAGAAACCACAAACGCTACCTAACCAAATCTACCAATAGATCAGAATGTGTTCCATCTAAAATAGAACATGGAAGCAAAAAAAAAATGAAAAGCTACTATATTAGCTCCTTTACCCCTCTTACTCCTGGTATGATATAGACGTTTTTCCCTTCAGTTTCCCCTCTCTCCTTTTTCTCTGTAAGTAGCCCCTACTTTTAGCCTTTGACAGACTTTGGAGGCTTTAGGTTAGATGTCTAACAAACAGAGATCCTAATACAGATATACAAAACTTGGAGCTAATTGTCTAATCCCTCGATCATATTTCTTTTTGGGTTAATTACTTATATATGCCCTGAGAGTTGAGGAAACTAATAGTTTCAAACACTGTTTTCAAAACCGGACTGGACCGGATGGTTGGACCCGAAAACCCGGGAACTGGTTACCCGTTTTCTTTCAAAACCGCTTTTTCCCTCAAAACCGTTGATTTTGGTTAGCAAACCGCTGAACCGGCCAATTAACGATTTGAACTGTTTTCCAATTTTTTAATATTGTTTTTTTTATTTTTTTTGTCAAAACGAGCTGGCTGTTCAGGTCGAACGATCGGACTGTTCGAACTGGTAACCAGACCCCTGACCGGTTCGTTTTTAAAAACCATGGTTTCAAAAACTACTTATATATGGCTTGTTGACCTTTCAAACGTATGTAAAGGACAAAAGTATCCTTAACTGTTCATTTAAATTTTTAAAACATGCACTACACTCTTCAAGAACAAGAACCACATAGCCATGGAAGTGTTCGGGATTCCTCATTTCTTCCACGTTTCTGGTTTAAAGGAAAATAAGAGGGTGTGTATGGGTTTCTCTTTGGGCCAAGTCTTGCTGAGGTTCCAAGTTCCATAAGCCTGTTGAAGTTCAACAATACAAACGAATTTATTTCAGGAATCTGTTGAAGTTCCAGAACTCAACAAAACAATATGGTTTTTCCAGCTGTCAAGTTCCAAAAGTCTGTTGAACTTCAACAAGACAAATCTCCCATTCGCTTGGTAAGTTGTTTATCCAGGTAAATACAATTATCCGGGTAAGTTTTTCTTGGAAAATACTTATTCAGGTAAGTGTATTTATCCATGTTCTTTTATTTCTCAGGTAAATAAAGCAATGACCATCTTAGCCATAGAAATTCATTATTAAAAGGGGCATTTTTGTCCCATTCAAATATTGGCAACTTTCCCCTTATGTGGGAAAGTTATTTACCCACCTAGGAGATGCTATCACTTTCCTGAGTAAATGATACCCAGGAAAATAAACTTTCCTTGATTCCCACAATGCTGAAAAAAGAACATGAAATTCTTGATCAATGGAAACCAAAATCCCATTAACCATCTTTCTTCCCTCTACATATCCGACTCCTTGAGAGTATTCTCTTAAAAGACTTTCCAAGGGTATTTTCATAAATCATAAGCATTGTATCGTTGGATTCTCATGGCGGTGGGAATCTAATCGGCTTACCTAGGGAGTGTTCGACAGATGGTTGGTTTTGTTTTTGTTGATGTGACGGCCGTTTTTATTTTCAAAAACAAATCCATTTTGTCGAACACCCTTTAATGACCTAATTTCTTGTTTGTTAGAATAAAAATGGTTTATAGATTTTGGTGGTTTTCTTAATTGACAATCTCTCTTTCTCTCTACAACCCTGTTTCGGTTTAACTTGTAGAACTAAAAGGCAAGTATCAGCATTAAATACAGAAAGTCAGAATGTAAGGTGTGAGAGGGGAGATGGCACCGAAGCTAGGCCATTTTTTCACAAAAAACAAGAAAAAAAATTAGTGGCCATTCAGATGCTTAAAATTGATTTTTCCAATGCTCTTTGTAATAGTGATACTTTGAACCTTGCTTAAATCATGAGCGGAACAATGTAAATCTGTTTTCAATGCCATGCTATAGCGTTGCCCTTTGAAAATAATGATACATCAAAATTCAGTACCCAAAAGCCATCCTGCAGAGATAATTAAATGCAACAGAAAAGGGGGAAAGAAAGAAAAGAGGCTGGAAAACAAAACAAAAAGCATGAGATAACCCCAATTATGCCTTTTTCTACAATAAAAAAAATATGGCAAATATAGAAGAATAAACATGTTTACAGCTGCAGCACCAATTTTCCCATTTGGTGGCAATTATTATTAGAACAAGGAATCATCACCAAAAGGCTTCAGAATGTAATCAATTATGATATTTCATCCAGAAAAAAATTAACATATAATCAAATGGAAGGCAGAAACTAATTTACATTACAGTACACAATAATTAGACAGCTGCTTCTAATTGTGCTATTGACTCCATTGGCCGGAAATACATTTCACCATCTCTTGCACAGTTTTCAAGTTGTACAGATATTACACGAGCAGATTGACAAATGGATAATCATCACCGAGTAAATAGCTTGCTCTTCCAACTTTCTCAGGCAATCTGTGTAAGTTTGTCAAGGACGTATCTTCTATGTTTGTATGTTTCTGCATAAGTTACAAAATGAAGTTGTGTGGTACCAAATTTCTGCTAGATATTGAACCTAGCAGCATTACAGATGAATGTATTGATTCCAGCATCAAATAAGAGGCACCATAATATGGCGTTTAAGGAAAAACAGCTCTGTAGGTGTCAAATCATATATATGCAAGTGAGCTTCGATCAAGGTCAGGCTGTGGCCGACCCCGTGTTGGAGTTGGTGGCCTTTGAATGTTGAGTTCCTGTAGGGGCCCATAAATGTACAGGAAGATGGTATGAGTCTTATCATGTCCAGCCTCCAGTCAGCTTCCAATATGAAAAATGAATAATTCTAACCAAATCTTACCTGCATCCATGTTTCATCTAAGACATGCTCTGGAGATGTTTCTGGTGACTGTAGAGGAGGTGGTAAGGGATGAATCAATTTTGGAACCACGACCAATCCTCTACCAACCACCAGTATAGCTCCAGCATTGTTTGCCGTCCCTGATGCAGTTATCAATTCAGCATGGAAGTTTTGCATATTGATGCAAAATAAAGGGGCATAGAATTCCAAACTTCCTTTGCTTACCACAGTAGTTGGTTGCAGAAAAAAGTGTTATCAACTGTCCTTGAGCAAACCGTTCAAAACCATCCATAACACATTCATGTGCTCTTATGATTAGCTGTAGTTTATTTTTCTTGCAGAAGTCTGTGACCCGATCAGGCTGCAATTAACATGATAAAAAAAAATTACAATATGCTCCATAAAAATGCAGTGAAGATTCTTACAATGGTGAAAGCTTTAGATGTGCTTGTGCAATCCTAAGAAAGGAAATATTAATTTCATGACGGTATAATAATATTAAGAGAATGAGATAATATTAGTGGCTATGGACTGTCAATTTCATTGAGTGCTGTAGGATTTTAAAAGTACAGAAATATCAAGAGAAAAACAAAGAAAAAAGAGTGATACCATTGTCATTGGGAAAGGCCCCCCTCCCCAGTCCCTAGGTAGCTGGGACCAGCATTGGGCAATGGTCCTATACCACCGACAATAACGCACAGATCTACTTTGCATGCACAAATGCAAAGAAGAAAACCCAATAAACCAATGGTATAACTTCTGAGAACATATATTTTGTGAAAAATATTCTGCATGTTTTGTTTCTAGAAAATCAACTTAAGAAAATAAACAACCCACTACAAAAACCACTTCACATCCACTTGTCTAAATCAGTAAATCTTGTCATGTCTTCTATGAATAATGAGAAAAAGACAAGGCTTTGCTGGAATGATGTGTATACAAAATACAAATGGCTCTCAGAGGGTGTTTTACTACCAAGTAATCCTTCTATTTGGTTGGGGGTGAGGATGCTTCCTTGGAAATGGATTTGATCACCTAATCTTCCTTCTAAAATTATTCTTTATGTGGAATGTTCATCTTGATAAAATATTAGTATTAACATGGAAAATCATGCTCCCTTTCATTGAGCAAAGGATGAACCTGACCCTGAGCATGTTATACATTGTCCAGGTCCAGCCTCATTTTATTGGCCAATTTGAGAAACAATAAGTTGTCCCAAGGACTTTCATCTCTATATTACATAGACAATAAGTTTCAACAGCCAATCTCAGGCATCTCTATGTCATTATCTAGTGTAAAATAGAGAACAATATGCAATGACTTAAATTAAATGCTACACCTTCATTTCTCAGTCATTTGTTGTATTATTGTATGCATATTAGTATCAATGATGAAACTTGCCCTTGAACATTTTTGCATGGAAAAAAATAATCTAGAAGCAATACATCGTGATAGTTGATATAATAGAATATTTTGGTAATGATGCTTTTCATACATGTTTGACAGATTGAAAGACCACATACCCCAAAAGTGACAAGACCAGGTCCCCTAGCATTTGGTCTCAAACCCTCTATACTATCATTTTCTGTGGGATCAGACCTGTATATCATAGCAAACATTTGTATTTAGGCAATCCAAACACAAAGACGAGTGCCAATGTGTGGGTGGACAAAATTAATCATACCATAGAAGGTCCATTAGAATGATAGATCCAGCATCCATTGTTATAGGTCTTTCAAGTTTCTCTATTTGCTCCACAGAATGTATGGACCTCCCAATTCCACCATGCATGCAAATAATTTTCTTCTCAATAAGTGCGGCAAGTGGAAGAAAGTTGAAAAGCTGATTGAACCTAGTCCAAGCCCATATCCCATCACTCTCCCCCTACAAACACCATCTCAGATCAGTATGACTAGCTTTCAACACTGAAGCGCATAAATATGTCAGTACCATTCTCTCAACGCATTCAAGACGAAAACCAAAAAGTGCATTTATGTCAGCAGCTTCATGGTTCCCACGAATCAAGTGAACATTTTCAGGATATTCAATCTGTACAATCAGGTCCAAGGACAAAAAGTCAATGCAGTCAACAAAAGGTGCACCCTGAATATTAAAATTTTAGTTTTATTACTTGAAACAGAACAAACTTACCTTGAGAGCTAGAAGTAAGGTTACAGTCTCTAAGCTGTGCTGTCCACGATCAACATAATCCCCCAAAAACAGATAGTCAATATACCTGAAATGTCAAATTTAGTGGTTGCTGAAAACATAATTCCATGAAGACACCAAACGTACCATCAATCAAAATTTGTAATCATAACTGAAAACAGCCAAAATTATTCTACCAAGTGGAGAGTACCTACCACATCAACACTAATAATAGTATAAGAACTAAAATGTGTAAAACAAAGTTTCATCTAGTTGAAGTGAAAGAGTAAGAAACATAATGTCAATGAAATTTATCTAAATGTTAGTTAGTGTTTCTTAGGACAAAGGTAAAACAAAACAACTGAACCAAACAAAGCTTTACTAACTGTATAGGATCAATGAATCCAGTTCCACTCTAAAGGGCAATATCCTCTATCAAATTGTGAGTATTCAGATCATTGTCAATAGCTTAACCCATGTTAGTTTCTATGATACCGAGACACATGCATAGACATGATCCATACCTAACATGACACCAGAAATTGCAAATGGGAACTTCTAGAATATACTTTCTAGCATAAACACTTCTAGAATTATGTATGTGGTGCATTTCAACAAATCATACTACAAAAAGGGTAAATTGCTTAAACCTCCCCTGAAGTTTCTAGTTGTTGCTGAAACATCCCCTAAGGTTTGATAATTGCAATCACCTCCCCCCTGAACTTTCTGACATAGTTGCAAGTAGATCCCCTCTATTAGAATCCTCTAAAAAGAGGCATGAAAATGTCCAGAATACCCATGCAGTTATTTTGGCCAAAGTGTTTATTTTCCAAATTTTCTCTTCAGAAGAATTGCTACCCCAAACCGTTCCGAACTCTTTTCTGAAATTGATTTATTTTTCAAATTTTCCCTACATATCAATTGTTCAAAGGCAAAGCTGCAACTTTAAATTCTTTTTTTTTTTGTTAATATAGTTTGTATTTGTTTCCTGTAGAAACCAGCCTCAATAGTAATTGCATGGGTATTTTGGACATTTCTGTGCCTCTTGTTAGAAGATTCTGACAGAGGGATTTACTTGCAACTGTCCTAGAAAATTCAGCAGGGGAAGTGATTGCAATTACCACACTTCAAGGGAGATTTCAGCAACGGTTAGAAACTTCAAGGGAGGTTTCAGCAATTTACCCAAAAAAATGTACTCTAAAAGCTAAACTAATTTTGACAAGAGATAAACAAAAAAAAAATGATATTTATAAAATGGCAGTTACAGTATTACCTAATTTTTAGCATATTGTGTACAAAGTGGTTGTGCTCATTCAAATCTGCATTCTCATACTTGTCAGCCCAAGATTTTACCATTACACCAAGCAATGACTCTAAGAAATGATATAAAGGTTAAATATAAAAGGATGACATCACAAGTACCCTATGAAGGGTACCCTACTCAAGATGATTGATAGGATAAAATTAGAGTAGGGTACCCTTCACAAGTACACAAAATTGCATTCTCATACTTGCATTCTCATACTTGTCAGCCCAAGATTTTACCATTCAAATCTGCATTCTCTTACTTAATGGATCTACAGTACTTATGTACATTAAAAGAGACACAAAATTGATAGGATATTAATTTTATAAAATTACCATCTTTCCTACTCAAGATCTTGCAAGGGTGTTGCAGTCCCACCTTACAACAAATTATTAATTTTGATGGGGAAATTAGATGAACTACTAAAACCCACAAGTACCCTATGAAGGGTCAATTATGAATTGTACAATGTACACAAGCAGAACAAAAAAAAAAAAAAAAAACCTTGCACCCAAGACCAAGAATATTCAAAATTATTACCATGAAAGGTGCTAATTCAAATCCACCTTTCCAATTGTGTTGCAGTCCCACCTTACAAACAAATTATTAATTTGATGGGGAAATTATCTGAACTACTAAAACCCACAAGAACCCTATGAAGGGTCAATCATGAATTTGTACAATGTACACAAGCAGAACAAGAAAATCAATCTTGCATCCAAGACCAAATATTAAAAATTATTACCATGAAAGGTGCTAATTCAAATCCACCTTTCCAGGGAAACCATTGACTATCCCCAACCATTCTCTGGTTCTAAATATGCACTTTAAAACTTGACTTGAGTAACAGTAAATATCCCATTCTAGCTCACTTTGTTTCCTATATTTCAAATATGCAAAACACTGAAAATAATGGCATAAACTCTAAATATCATACGCACGTTATGTCTCCACCAGTTGAAGGAAATCCATATTCATCAAATAAGCGCATTAGATCACCAAACTGTCCATGAAGATCACCAAATACTTTAACTGGAGCCTTTAATTGCAGAACTGTGGGCTCCTGCATAAAGATCTGCTCAGCAGCATAGCAAAGTTCACCAACTTCATAAGTGTCCAGAAAAAAGTTCCTATTAGCTGGAGCTTTCCAGTTTCGTGGCCTAAGTAAAAAAGAAATAATCTGCAACAGAGTAAGTGATAATAAACCAACTGTAACTAATAAAATAAGAAACAACATGTCTAGAATTCTAATAATGCTTACCTTCTTGTGCAATCCCTGAGGGGACTTTTGTCTAGAGAAGGCCCTTTTAGCAGGATAAGACAGGTCATTGTTTGTGGGGATCATTCGCCTGCTCTCATTTTCAAACTGATCCAAGGACAGCTGCCTTACCAAACCCCCCAAGTTCCCAAAAGCCTCTTTTGCAACTACAACCTGTAACATCAGAATCATTATGTCTTTGTAGCTTGAACTTGACATAAATTCCAGATATAAAAGGAGAAAAAAAGATACATACAGCTCTAGAGTGAAGGCGGACATCAACCTCATTATCACTACCGTCGGATGAGTGCTCAGGACCATGTGAGTTGCTGTCTGATGCAGAAGTTTCTTCTGTACATGCTGAAGATGCTAACTTCATGGCTTGCCATACAGAACTAACAGCCTCAGCCTCGGCAGCTGAAGCCTCCACCAGCTTCTCAATAGAGTTCTTGTCCGTGCTGGTAAAAAATGAAAACATCACATTCTGTACAACTATCCTAGGTCAAAATAATTTTAAGAAACAACAAAAAAAAAATACAAGAGCAAGTTATAGAATGTATAAAACCTTAAGCCACCAGTTGAAGGGATCTCCATTCTTCCATCTGAAGGTAGTGGTACATAGGCATCCGAAGTTGGTGAAACATGAGAACTTGGACTTGATGCATTCAATTTTGAACTTGTCATGGGTAGAGTTCTCTCAGAATTCAAGATAGGTGAGTTTATTTCAGATTGAATAGGTGAATTTTCTGCAATGAGGAGATCATCCAGAAGCATATCTGCACAAAAACTAACCTTAAAGTTACTAGAGTAGAAATATAAACAGAGAACAAATGAACAATAAACAAGCACTAACTAGATAGGTGTTAAAGTAGTTTTGTTCTTTTTCCTTGTTTCTACATTGTTAGTCAACCAATATTGTTAACAGTCGACTAGTTGCAACCTTTTGGCAAGTAATAAATAGAAGTATATAAAAGGTTGGCTGTCAAGAGAAATAGACTGATTATTCTCTTGACTTCTGCTCCCTTTCTTCCTAACTCTTCTTCCCTCCTTTTTTTCACTTTTTCCTTTCCTTTCAGGTTGGCGCACATGGTATCAGAGCCTACTGCTCATTAAAGCAGTCGACTGCTACTGTTAACAGTTGACTGCCGTAGTTAACACTCAACTGCTACAGTTAACAGTCAACTGCCGTTAACACCATTCATTGTGCACTAGAAAGTATAGAACATTCTCTACTCATTGTAGGAGGAAGAAGGGACCAAGAAGGATCGTCCCTTTGGGAAAGAGGCTTTGATGCCTCAAGTTGTGGCTGTTTGTGAGTTGGTGATGGTTTGTTAAGCTTCCTCTACTCAGCAGTTCAAAGAGGAGTATATTGGTAGATGTTGTAGGTGCAGTTGTGTTTACTCTTCAATGTGATGAAGTGAGTGGTAGTTTGTGGTGTATAGGTGGACTGTTAGTGTGTGAAGCTCCCTTTGTGTTCAAGAAATGTGTAGTGATCCTTTTTCACTTTCTCATGGCCTGATCAAGTAGTAACCCTAAACCTACAGTGGTGGTGCAATAAGGCCTAATGAATTTTCAGTTGACCACAGTGAAACTCAATGGTACCAACTATATATGGTAAGTCAATTGATGTGTCTCTTATTGGAAGAGGTAAGTTGAAGTGCATTAAGGAGGGTCAGATGAAGAAAGGATCAGAAGGATATAATGAGTGGATAAAAGAGAAATTGGGAACCCCATCCCTATAAAATTGGCTTTGTACCAAGGTTTTTAAAACAGGACTGGACAAGGAACCGTTCTGGGGTCTGGTTCCCAGGTCAAACGGTCTGACCGTTCGGACCAAACAGACAACCCATTCTAACAAAAAAATTAAAAACAAAAACAGCCTTAACTGTTGTTTGGGTCGATGGTTCGACGGTTCAACCGCCCGGGTCAGCAGCTCACTGACCAAATCAATGGGTTTTGGCCAAAAAGTGGTTCCCGGTTTTTCAGTCTGACCATCTGGTCTGGTCTGGTTTTGAAAACATTGCTTTGTATGAGTGCTCATCTCTCTAGCTACTCATTTTGACTGGTCCTTGTTTCAACTTGATGTTAAGAATGCCTTCCTCCATGGTGATCTTCAAGACGAGGTGTATATGGAGCAACCTCCTGGGTATGTTGCTCAAGGGGAGTCTGATAAGGTATGTAAGTTGAGAAAGGCTGTTTTTGTTTGAAATAGTGCATTGTTTAACACTTTGTATTCAGCAAGGATACCTCCTCTAGGAAGATGATCTCGGCAGTTTATGTTAATGACATAGTTCTTACCGGTAGTGATGTACACAACATCAATAAACTGAAGCAATTCCTACAACAACATTTTCAAACCAAAGACCTAGGAACATTGAAGTATTTCTTGGCCATAGAGGTTGCCAGATCAAAGTAGGGAATCTCCCTCTTACAGAGAAAGTATGCTTTGGATGTATTAGAGGAAACCAGGTTATTGGGATCCAAACCAGTGGAAACTCCTATAGATCCTAATGTGAAGATGAATGATAGTTAGAGGAAGTTGTTAGAAGATTCAACAGACTATAGGAGACTTGTAGGTAAGCTAATTTACCTTACTATCACTACACCTGACATCTTGTTTAATGTTGGAGTGCTTAGTTTATGCAAAACCCCACAACTACTCATTTGGATGGTGTTGTGAGCGTGTTGAGATATTTAAAGGGTGCTCCAGGTTGTGGGTTATTATTGTAAAAGAAAGGGGGGAGACTTACCTCTAGAGCGATATTCAGATGTTAATTGTGCAAGGTCCCCAATGGACAAAAAATCTACTACAGGCTATTGTACTTTCTTGTATGGGAACCTTGTCACTTGGAAAAGTAAGAAGTAAAGTGTAGTTGCTAGGAGAAATGCCAAAGCCAAGTACAAGGCAATGTCTCATGCTACCTGTAAATTGATTTGGTTAACGAATTTTCTTCAAGAAGTAAACATTCCAATTAGCCAACCCATCCGGCTATTTTGTGACAACCAAGTTGCTGCACATATTGCCTCAATCCAATGTTTCATGAAAGAACAAAACATACTGAAATTGACTGCCATTTTGTGAGAGAGAAAGTAACAAGTGGGGATATTGTCACAGCATATATCAAATCAGAAGACCAAATAGCTGATATTTTCACCAAAAGCCTGGGTCAATCAAGGATAGACTATATTTTTAACAAGGTAGAACTATATGATATATATGCTCCAGATTGAGGGGTAGCATTAAAGTAGTTTTGTTCTTTTCTGTTTTCAGGTCCTTTAGGTGAGGGGGACTCCACGAGGGCAGAATTATTAGCTGCACTACAAGGAGTACAGTTTTCTGTACAGCTAGGAGTGGAGCAGCTACTAATAGAAGGCAATTCTCAGGTGGTTGTGGGGTGGCTACAAAAACCACATACTACAGTTTGGTGCTTAAAAAATGAACTTAAAAGATTCACATGCTTGACGAGGAATTTGGATGTTAGAATACAATGGGTATGCCAATGCTATGGCTGATTGTTATTGGAAAATTTGATGATAGAAGGGGACTCCAAGGTGATGGTGGGTTGGCTAGAAAACCTAGATTCAGTGATTTTGGGCTTACAGAAATGAAATTAAGAAATTCAAATGGATGACTCAGCAGATGGATGTAAGTATACAATGAGTGGGGAGGGAGGCAAATGCTTTTGCTGATTCTCTAGCTAAACAAGGAGTAACTAGGGATCAGTTGTCCTGGGCCCACTTGTAACTTTATGATGTTTCTGTATTAATGAGTGAGGCTGCACCTTGCACCTCATATTGGGATGCTTGTAACAGACTCTTTATCATTTGCTTCTAATGAAACCAATTGAATTTTTATCTATAAAAAAAATGCTATGGCTGATTGTTTAGCCAAGCAAGGGGAAAATAGGGAAAATCTGTATTGGCAATTGTAATCCTTTTTAGTTCTTGATGGGTTGGAGAGTTGCAGCTCGTACCTCTCCAAGTGTATTCTGTAACAGTGGTTTATTCCATCAATAAATTCTTCATTTATCAAAATAAAAAACAACTGACCAATATTGTTAGCAATTGGCTAGTTGTAATTTTTTAACAAGTAATGAATAGAAGTATATAAAGGGTTGATTGTCAAGAGAGAGACTAATTATTCTCTTGACCTCTTCTCCCTTTATTCCTACCTCTTCTTCCCTCCTTTTTCCTTTCCTTTCAGGTTGGCACACAGAAGGGATGAGCTAAGTGCTAATTTTTAATGTAAGTAATATATCATTAATCACTAGTTATCTATTTCCTAGATGTTCAATTTTGATACCAATAAAAACTAAGGACAAATCAATTATGTAAACATACGAAAAATATTTGTGGTCATGTGTATCTTATTTTTTTCTTTTTTATCAATAACCACAGATTTCATTAAAATGAAATAAAATTACAAAGAAAAGGAGCTAAGGAATCTTAACTCCCCAAGGTACGGGAACACACCCAAACTGATAAACTCAACAATTACAACTGAGACCCAGAATCCCTATTAACCCCTTGCCTAGCTAATCCATCAGCAAAGGAATTGGCATTTCTCTTTACCCAAGTACACTGGACTTCCATATCCTTGATCAGCCATTTAAACTTTCTCTTTTCATTGCTGTAGCTCCACATCTTAGAGGTGTCTTCTTTTAACCAGTCCACTACAATCACAGAATCTCCCTCTATAATCAGTTTCTTGACATTAAGTTCTTTGGCCCTTTGCACCCCTTCCAAAGCTGCTAACACCTCAGCCCTCAAAGAGTCTCCCACTCCAATTGGGCCAGAGAACATAGCTATTACACCTCAGCCCTCTATAATCAGTTTGTGGTCATGTGTATCATTCCCTAAAACATAATTACTTATGTTCAAATGTACCCTTCCCACAGGCATGAATACTATAAGACAATGTATTGGACATCATTTTACATCAAGAAGGTATTTATACTTCAACACAATTTATTTCCTAACTTGAGCAACAAAATGGAAGAACAATGTATTCAGAGTTCAGAGAGGATTTCTGCATTGTAAATTTGTAATGAGATAGTAGAAGGTGAACAAATCAAACTATATATGGCTGAACTCCACACCTCAATGTCAACTAATCCAATGAGGGTCTCTGGACACCTAGTCTAAGTCTAAAGATTGACTGTACCTTACCAGACCACAACCTGTATTTTATGCCTTATGTGCTTGTAACCATGTCTTGCATTAGTCAAGAAAGTGATTGTGAGTATGTCTCCATCTCTGATTGACAAGATAAAATGGCCATCTATCTATTTTTGGTAGTAAATAAAAAAGAAAATTAATTGAGATTGAGAAAAGAAGAAAAAAAAAAAACAGAATTACAACATATGATCCCTCCATTCCAATTCTAAAGAATACCAAATATCTGAACCAAAAGAATCCCTTGATACCCCCCACAAACTCTGGTAGGATCATTTTCCACTCTAAAAATCCTTTTTCGGTAATTGAACAAAGTTCTTCCTTGTTTTTTGACCTACCTTCAAAAATTATTGTGTTTCTTTCTCTCCAAACCTCCCAACAAAATGCCAATGGAACACAAGACCACACAATTTTTGCTTTCTTCTTCCATGCAAAACAAGCCAGCAAAAAAAATTCTAAGCCAAAAACTCTGAAGAAGAAACCCCAAATGAATCTTGAAAAGCAACAACCAAAACAAATATGAAAAAACATCTTCCCCACCACTTTCACATAAATAGCACCACCCGGCCATGTGATTGGATTCCCCCAAACAACCCTTGATTGGAGTCCTCTGATCCTCTTAATCTGATTTCTTGCTAAGGCTTTGTAAAATGGTTTAACAGTAAATAAACCATTGATACACTCTTTCCACCAACTTGAGTTGTGCCTGTCCAGTTGCACTTCACTACTTTAAGCTTAGACAACAGCTTCAAACACACCTCGACTTCCCTGTCAAGAAGTGGTCTTCCAAAAGTAGGATTCCATACCACAGTACCATAACTTCAAAGCACTGAGCAACTGTATCTTGACAACATATACCCAATGAAGCTGATAGCAAGGACAACAAACACATTAAATCGTGGCTTCAGTTAGATAGCCAAGATGGCTTTGTTGGTGCTTGGATGCAGAATGTGGCATCTATAGTCTTTAACTTCCTGTATGGGTGCAGAAGAATGAATAAACTTCCACCACAACTCATTTATTTGTGTGGTTTTCTCTGTTCTAGTGGTTGAACTTCATCTAAGGAAAGTACATTAAACTTCACCCAACATAAAAGGCATTGCCATTTGAAGGCTAACAGCGAGGTTAAGAGCACTGCATGATATCGGCATAGTACAGCAGTTATTTAATAAGATATATGTGTTAGAATACGACGCTAAAGATCTAATAGCATGAATCAGTGGCAACTGATTTGAACATCTTGTTCAACAGGTTACCAATACCAACCAACCATTGTGTGTTCTGATGATCTTGCTAGGCCAGGGATGAAGTCTGCAGATTGGAGCTCTTACAGGGTTTTTGGACAACTAATATAACCACTTGATGGTAGAGAGCTTGTAATTTGAATTTGAGGGTGGATTTTTCCTACCTCTAAACAGATGAGGCCCACCCATAGCTGCTTTACTTAATTACTTCCTCTTAATTTTTTCCCCTGGAATTGGATCCTGAATAGAAAAAGGCTTATATTTTTTAGCATTTCATAACTGGATTTTAGAACTGTGATGTCAGATAGGTAAGAGGTCCTAGAACTTTCAGAACTGCTGGTCCATGGATTCTTTCCTTATTTCTGTGCCTTCATTAATTGTATACATGGTGTACAAGATCCTTTTTTTCTCATTTTGTTTAGTACTAGAAACTATACTAATGCCATAACCAAACATCAAGCTTGCAAATATAATAGGGTAAATGTCCACTAGTTGAACTGGAGAGGTGAGTCCTATACGCTGTCTGGTTGGAAGCAAATGAGACCGAAATGAAAATTCTATAAGATGGACAGAGTATTGGACAATTGAAAACATATTCAAAAACTGAGTATTGCTAAAATAAGAATGTTGAGATGGATGAGTGGCAAGACTAAAAAAGAAAAAAATCAGATATCAGCATATTAGAGCTGATTTAGATGAGTGAGATGGTTTGTTAAGTGGACAGATGACTAATGATTGCACTAGCAAGTGATTTAGTACAAGTAACTGGTTATTCCTTACCTTGGGACCAAATTGGTTATTGGGCAGTAAAAATCGTGACAGGTGTACCTGAAGCCATTCCTGTAATAGGATCACCCTTGGTCGAGTTATTACGCGGAAGTGCTAGTGTGGGTCAATCCACTTTGACTCGTTTTTATAGTTTACACACTTTTGTATTACCTCTTCTTACTGCCGTATTTATGTT